TATTTATTATTATGATATTTTTGCTTACAGTGGAACTAGTTCCAAATTAAAAGGCCATGCAATACAGAGGAGCCATGTCCTCAGCCAAATTGGATACCAAAACAAAGCACAGTTTTTCTTATTTTTGTGTGTTTGTTTTAGCAATTAGATGGACTACTAGCAGCTTTTTAAAAATCACAGTGTGGGGCCTCCCCATGGCGCAGCGGGTTGAGCACAGCACTGTGAGGCTGTCTGCAGCCTCTGCAGCACGGGTTCAATTCCCAGCCGGCCAGGGAGATTCCCACATGGCGTGGCAGACCTCTCCTGTAGCACCCACTGCTCTCCTCAGCAGTATATTTCGATCCTCTGTCTGTTCTGCTCCCTATTCTGTCTCTGGTGAATCTTCTCACACACCTGCACCTCTGGCCTGTACCCCAGCTCTTGTATAAAAAAAAAATCTTTAAAAAAAACCACAATGTATCTGTCATAAATTTAAAGGATTCAGTATATTCTTAAATGTGTAATTCCTCTGAGCCAACATTATTTTTTTAGAAAACAGTCATCTCTTTTAAGTATCTATGTCTACTTTGGTGTCACAAAATGTGCTTGTGGTCTCATTTTCCAGAATGCTTTTGTTATGTAAAAACATAGTTTTGTGATTCTAATGGAAAAGGATATCATATAAAATAATCAACATCCCCATGCATTTAATACTCTCAGTTAACACATTTTTCATATTTTAATATTTTGCATTGTCTTATAAGTGTTTTATCAAAATAAGCATGTTTTCCTTAATAGGGGTTTTTAAAGGAATAAAAAGAATAAAATGAAATTAATCTGAGTAATTCATACAATTATTCTTTAAATTTATTTAAAATAGAATCAGTATTAGCATTTTAATACATTTGGTTTGAAAATTTTAGAGATTACTAAACATAGATTGGAGTCATTAACAAGGTTTTAAAGATGTAAAATTTTTTCATGAGTCAATGTTTAATGTTAAAAGCAAGATATAAAATGGAATATACAGTATGCTTCATAGTGCCTAAGAACTCATGCATTCTATAAAATCATGTAAAACACATGTACATAAAATCCTCTATATTAGGCAGGTGTTTACACACCTCAGTACACAGAAGGAAATTATTGCAGCAGTTATCTTTGGGTGATTCTTTCAGTTCTTCTGTATTTTCCAAAGTTTCTACAGTTATTATATGTTTTACATTAAAAAAATTTGTATATAACATTTTACAAAGATCAAGTAGATTGTTACATTATTTATATGTTGTTTGCTTATTTCTACATGTCTGTACTTCTGTGAACATGAAAGTAGAGTGGTGAGTAGATATGTTCCTTTTTTGGATTTTGTCAAATAGTCCAGACTTCCAGAAACATTTCAAACATTTATGTATATATTTAAAACAAGAACACATTTATTTCTCTATAATTCTATAAGAAGTAGATTAAGGATGAATTAATAGTGATACTTTTGAGTCTAAGGGAAGAAAGACCAAGATTTCAAAATACTAGCCATCTGTATGCTTATCAGTTCCACAGTCATGTTGACAAACTCCAGAGAAGACTATTATAGTAAGAGAGTGAAGCACAGAAGATCAAAAAGTTAGTGCACGATTTGATTCACAAAGTGAGTCTCAATCCTTGGCTCCTCCTAAAAGCACTAGTTCATATAACATGGGTCCCCCTGAAATTGGCAGTGTGTGCAGTTGAGAAGCAGCAGATACTCTGTGACTACAAGTGCTTTTGGTTTCGTAGGATTAGGGGTCCTGGTTCCATTAAATATAAACTGTATTCTAGTTAACTTAATCTTTTGTTTCTGGTTTGGTAATAACTAAAGTGTGTTGAGTGTGTCTCAATACCATCTTGAAATGAACTAGTTTACAAAATTATATTCCAAGTACTAAACTTGGTTAAACTAATTTTTTAGGATGATAAGGGACTTTTTCCACATTTAAGTATTTTAATTGTTTCCAGGTCCTAGTGATGTCCCTTTAAGAGGGTTTGCTCTTGGATTTTTCATGTTCAGTTTCTTGCTAATGTTTCTAACATCTCCTTACAGAAAAAATGAGGGTAGAAAATAAAGTAGTGAATAATACAGTAGTAGGGGAAATGCAAGGAATAATAGCTCTCGACTCTGTTGTCATTTCTCCTTGGAGAAAGCAGCAAATTCAGTGGAGCTGTTTTGAGTCTTATATTCTACCTCCAATAGCTGGCCAGGACTCAGCAAGTCTTTTTGTTTGGGAGAGGGGGGTGGTGGAGTCTCCAGAGGGTTTGGAAAGAGTGACCTCGGTTCACCCATGGGTAACCAGGACAGGAAATGAGCACAGTACCTCCTTCAACATCATAAGACTAGAGACCAACACAGTACTGAACCCCACTGTGACTCACCTTATCTATTCTAGAACTTTCTGCACTTGTATTCTGCTGTGACTGTTACCTTGATGCAAATCCCTCATCTTTGATCTGAATACACACTAACATACATTCATACAAACTCACACACATACATGTATACAGTGTCAAAAATGAACTTTTCTCTGAGTTCCTCCCAGCCCTCCTTCCCCTCAACAAATATGCCAATACTAAAAAAAAGAAATGATTTTTTTTCCTTAAAGCAGACCCAAATTGGTTTTTTGTTAAAGTTTGTTGTTGTGTTTGTTTTCATGTAAATGAAAAACAATGCTATGTAGTCCTCTCCAGATAATAATCATATTGCCGGGAGGTACAATTTCAGCCTCCAGGCAATGCTCATTATGCAAATTTGAATCTAGCTTCTCATTAATTTATAGGACACTCTAACAACCTCTTTCCATTTGAGGAAAACCCAATAATCTTATGATGTGGTATTATAATTCCTTCTAACCCCACTTTAATTAACTAAATCTCACTGTTTAAAAAGTTCTGTGTTGGGTGAGTAATTTAGGTGCAGCATTTCAGAGTCATTTTCCAGCAGAGACATTTTTTGGTGTTTGCCTTTATTCAGTTCATTAAAATCCACACATACTTCAAGCTAAATGGTTTATAGTAAAAGAATCTTCTGTGGATTTTAACTACCAGATCTGGTTTTTGTTTATCATAAGCAAATTATAGGATACAATTAAAATATATGTGCATGTTACATTTTTCTTCCAAACACAAATGAAAATAGAGTTTACCTTCATCATTGTACTTGTGAAAGCACATCAGATGAAATATGTTTTAGTATTAAGTGAGGAATTGAATGAAGATTTTTTCATTATACATATGTTATATATTCAAACATCATTTAAGCATTACAAAATTTTGAAAAAGAATGTAGCCCATCCTTTATTGAAGACATTTGCCACTGAAATTATAGAAACAAATTTACTGTTACTAAAATGAAACAATTTTGAGATAATTGGCAGAAACTACTTCTGGACAATTTTCAAAAATGAAATCGCTCCTTCACTAAAATTACAATCAACTTTCCTTTGCTTTGATAGGGAAAATGAGCAAGACGATAAGTTATTCCTAAATAATGTGTATGTGTGTCTTTTATAGTGCTTGGGAACAAGTTAGGTATTAATGAATAAATACTACCCTACTACAGCCAAGAAAAGAAGTAATAGTCTTAATATTCATGCTCTTACAGTTTGCATTTCTCAATTCCAATATAATTTCTGTAAAAAAATAGAAGACTTATTTCCAGGGATTCATTTCCGATTGATATGCTTAGGTCAAGATGCACTTAGTTTGCAGAAAATAAACTTTGTAGCTGGGCAATTATAAAGAAGAAAACGAAAGAAAAGACTGCATTCTAGAGAAGTTATCTAGATACATATTACTTTAATTTTAGTTATCTGGATAATCTCAAAAAAAAAAAAAAAAAAGCCAAGTGCCTCTCAGAAAAATGGAATCCTGGAGTGAAGGAGGTACAAAAAAATACACATTTCTCCTAAAGTGTGTTCTGACCTTTTTCTGCTTTTTATTTTCCACACTCTGAAATTCAAGATCTCTGCATAATTTGATGGTGGCTGTAACAACGGTCTAGTTCCTGGTAGCAAACCCTTTCCTCACGTCCTTCACGTATTGCTTGTGTTCAGCTGGGTTTCATGAGTGTTGTTTTAGGTCACTCCCGTCCCTTTGCAGAATCATTCCTGAGTGAGCAAATGGTTCAGTTGCAGTGTTTCAGTCAGGGTCATATGCAACAGCTTGTTATGTAGAATGAATGTGTTCACTGCTGGTGAAAGAGCTTTGGCTAACTAGATCAAGAAAAATCCTGAGGAGATTTTAGAAAGCGCTTAACAAATTATTCATGCTAGGAAATACGGTACAAGAACTTGGGAGCCCCGTTTCTCCAAGTAGAATGTTGCACAACTTCCTTGCCTTCCCCGTCCCTCCGAGACATGTCATGCTGACACCTTGCTCCTGCATCCCCGAGCCTGGTGTAGCTAAGGTTGCTGCAGCAACAGCACACACGGGGAACATTCCCCTGTAACTCCAGTGGCCGGGACGTGAGTCAGTTGACAAGTTCCACTTGGTTTTTATTAGTGTATGATGCAGTCCTGTGTCATCTACAGTTGCTAGCCTTTCCAAGACTCACACACAGTGATGCAGGACACTCAGTGCTCCTCACCTTCAAATGTTAGATAGCCCAGGAGCCTCTCACCGAATCCTCTGTAGTTGCTGGCTCCTTCCGCAGCACCCCGCACGCTACCTACAATTAGAGGCCAAGAGTATTGCTTAGGTCCCACAGCTGGAACTGTTGCTATCACTGTGTCCTGTGTGCCTAATAAGCAACAGTGACCTTGAATAATGATCAGGAAACCCCTGTTTTTACCCAGGGAGGTGGACAATGTTTAACATCCCAGAAGACATGTTTTCACCCAAATGCCTGGGAAGAACATGTGCTGAAGAATAAGAATGGAATTATTGTAATTCTCTATGGGAATTTATGAAAATGGAACTTACTATTTAATATTGATCAAAGTGATCAGAAAGTTATTGGTAACTTCTAACACAAGATCTGGTTTATTTTTCAGACACGGAGATGACTTGATTGTGACTCCATTTGCTCAGGTAAGCACAGGCTGGTGAACAAGCAGGTTGCTCACAGACCTGAAAACTCTATTTGGGGGACTAGTTCTTGCTTCATTTTAAATCAAACGCAAGAACAGATACATATTCTGTGGTTTATTCAAGTTAATTGAAAGGTCATGCTAAAGAATGTGACTTTGGACATATTAGTCTGTTTCCTACAAAATTGTTCACTTAAGAGTGTCTTTGTTTCAAATTATAAATTACTTGAGTGACATAATTAAATGGGACCATATTTTCTTAGTTGACATAATCACTAGCAGCAGAAGGCTATAGCACAGATTAATTGCATTTAGTATAATTAAGTACATGATCAGCACTTGAAATTCAATATTCCAATTCAACTTGATGTTTTACTTTTTTTTTCTTTAACATGTTAATTGTACAAAGGTTTGACTGAGTGGTATATTTTTGTTTATTTGTTCCTTTTAGGTATAGAAATCAAGAAAATACTTTAACCACATGACAAATTCTAGATGATGAAACAACCTAAATAATTTTCAGATATAGATATAAAATAGTTGATAACAATATTCTTTGCATAGATTAGTGCTTCTTAACCCTACCTACACACTAGAATCACCTAGAAAGTTTTTTATCCCTCACCTTTGATCACTTGAATCCAAAATCTACAGTTGGATCCAAGCACCTGTAATTTTTTAAGACCTCACTATTTTTTCCAAGAGGGCCACTGGTGTATGCCATACATAGAATGATATAGAACTGACTTGCCTTGAACATGATGCAGATTTAAAGTCAACATCAAATGTTAGTAAGAAATGTTAAATATTGGAACACAAATTATGCAGAGAGATTATAAAAGTCATAGTCAGGATTATGTCAAAAGTAGCTCATCTAGCTTTTCTGGGACTAATTTTTTCCAACTGGCAAAATTAGGGGACTCAACTAAAGATAGGCCCTGGTTCAAACCCCAACACCCCCCTTTTTTTGCTAAGTGAGTGGCCCTGGGCAAGTCACTGGACTTTTCCAAACCTGGTTTCCTCCTCTATTAAATGACAGTTTCAAAAGTACCCACCACGTGAGGTGGTGATGCCAAGCTTAGAAAATGCTTTCCTGTAGTTGCTCGGAAATAAATATTTAATGAATTTTAAGAGCTGTTATCAGTCAGCCCTCTTTCATCTCAAAAATGTCATAATAGAAAATTGGTTTAAAAATACTTAAGTAAATAATTATTACCAAATGTAGAAACAGTCATTCCCAGCTTGAGTCTATTCAGGTAACATTTCATTCTACCTAAAATTTCTAGGTATTGTTGTAAGAGAGAAATATATACTAAATATATAAATATATATTTAATATTTATATTTAATATTTAATAAATATATTTATATTTAATAAATATATTTATTAAATATGTACTAAAAATGGGGGGGAATCATTCTGTATGTGATACCTTATGTTCTTATGTCAAGGAGTGTTTATTAATTTCCCACAAATAGATTAATAAATTTGACTAGGTTCTTGCAGGTAGTGCTCTTAAACTCTAAGGAAATCTATGCTTTTACATAATTAGACATTTTTTTTCTTTAGTGAACCAATAATCTCAAAAAAAAAAACCACTAACAGAATTTCAGTACTCTGAGAAATATATTTGTAAAATATCCCTGAATGCCTTAAAATTGGAACTTTGAATATAAACCGACTCTATGTCTGTGATATTTCGATATATCTGATACCTGAACATAATCTTTTAACATCTTTAGAAGAATTTGCTTATGATTAGTTTAATGACTCACAAGCGCGCCTAGGGGGTGGCCATGACCCCAGAGGCTGCAGAGTCTTCTAACATGGCTTCCTCACGGTCTTCACAAATGGATTTTGACTAGGGAATATTATCTGGGAAACTCCACTAGAATTTTTATATACCGTCTCTTAAACCCTGAACAATTTCACCGCCAAACGAGGTTCTTTTGGGAAGCGAGTAAGAAAAGGGGTCCGGTGATCGGCGGTATGTGGACTGCCCTTAAATCCCGTTGGGCACAACTAAACTCAGTTGTTGACCTAAACGCTAACGCCTCGAAATTGTAATACCGGATATAAGACCTACCACTTAATGATACATGTTGTAATGCAAAACTGTAAGATATTTATATCACTTGATGTGATACTGAATTATTTGGCGTAATAGGCCATAGTTAATTTTATCAACGGACAGAAGACAGTTGATATTTGATTAATCGCTCAGGGAAACGCTCAAATACATCGAAGAATTCTCCCTTTCCCCCAGCATGCTTTAGGATTTGGAATTCATACAAGGTTCTTCTCGTGAAAAATCTATATTGCTTTCAAAATAAAATCCTTTTGCATAAAAAAAGTTTAGAAAAGGTAATATGCAAAAGGAAGAAAATTGAAATTCCCCATGATTCCAAACTCCAAAATACAATTGATATTTTACTTTATATCCCTTTAGTATTTAGGTTTATTTTTCTGTGTATATTTTTCTTTCTCATGATTCTTAAAAATGGGCCTTCCACTCTCAAATCAAAAGGCCTCTCCCAAATGCATACATTGTGCAAAAATGAAAAATGATGTAAAAATATATAAAATTAAAAAATAATAAATTAAAAATACAAATTAAAAAAAAAAAGGCTTCTCCCGACCCTACCTCATATTTTGCCTCCTCTTGAGAACTCATTTCTATATGAATGCGTACATCTTCACAATATTAACAGATCCTGCCCTGTGTTTCCCCATTCATGGTTTCCTGAGAAGCTAAAATTCAAAGTTACCAGAGAATTTAAGAAGTCGTTCAAGGACTATCCCATATTGATGGGCAGGGTTGAAACCTACAACACCTTGGATAAGCGCCACCGTCAGAAGAGACCCTGCAGTACCGCTGCATATTCTTTTCCATGTCACAAACTCTGTCAGGGGTAGAAATTATTACTGGTGTTTAACCTAAAATTTTTTCACTTTCGATTTCCTATGGTTTCCCCAATAAACTCAGAATCCTCTTGATCCCCAGAAGAGACCGCTTTAAGTATTGGATTTACTTACATTTTTAAATAGCCACCTACTTTGGGTTGAAATCTTTTGGTGTGGGTAAGCCTTTAGGGATAGAGGCTTGGTGGTCTGAGGGATCCCTCCGCAGCGCCCTATCATGCTGTTGGCAACTAGTTTTTCCTCCTGAGAGAGTAGTAATGATTTGCTCAGAGTTCTTGGGAACCAAGGAAACCCAATATTAATGAAATGGAGGAATCCTTGCTTTGGAGTCAGCTCAGCTTCCTGCAAACCCACCAGTTCCATTATTCGTGATAGAACTGACCGCCCGCTGCTCCCCTCAGCAGTGTACTTCGGTCCTTCTGCCTGCTCTGCTCCCCGCTCTGGCTCTGGTGAATTCTCTCACCCTCCGGCGCTTCTGACTGTACCCAGTGCATGTATAAACAAAACAAACAAACAAACAAAATAAATAAATAAATAAAAAAACATGCCTCTATAAAAAAAAAATAAAAAGATTTAATAAAAAAAAAAAAGAAGTTTAAAAAAAAAAAAAAAACTGACCTCTAAGCTGGCTGGAATCCCCACTTGGAAGTATATAATGTTAAAATAAGTGAGATCTTCGATTAAGGAAGTGACAGAAAATGCTCAAATACTACTTTGGATCCCTGAGAAGACCCAGATATCATTCAGACTAGGGAAGCATGTCTGTTTAACTGGTGTTTAACAGAAAACCTCTTTCACTTTCAATACAGGGTAGAAAACACTGAATCACTTTACATTTATTCTAACCAAATACAGTACTTAAGATAATTCTAGAAGAAATGGAGTAGTTGTTAACTATAGAAGGTTTATTATTCCATTGGTAACAGAATATTGCTCAGTTTTTTATAATGCCCTCACACCCGCCTTGCCCATTTTACCCTCAGCAGCCATCTGGTGACCTCGTCAGAGCGCGTAGCTCGCAGAATCCACCAGGTTATTCCTATAGTCTGTGAAATAAGCTGTTTCAATTGCTTTTTTAATCTTTCCTTAAAATAAATTACAACTAGTATCTTTTAGAAATCTTTTTAGGTAGAATTGTATGAAATCATTAATATTTAACCTTTGTTGACATATAAAAACAGCAATTTCATATGCTTGATCAAAACATAATGTGGAAAGAGGTTTATTTTTCCATCAAGATAACCTTTCTATCTTGTGAATAATCATAATTTGACTTCAGTTTATTCTGGAAGTAAAAACAAAACAAAGAATTCTTTCTCCCTTCACCGCCCCCCAGACCTGAAGCAACTCATTGTGTTTTATCGCCCTCTAGTGGCACAAAGTGTATTAGGACTGAAAATCAAATTTTTTTTTTTCCCCAGCAGGGGTTTTTAACAAGTAAACTATTGCCACAATTTTTTTTTTTAAATCTCTTCTTTAAATCTTTTCAAGAAATTATTATTCTATAAGTATACTTTCCTTTAGGTTTTCATATCCTGTTCAACATTTAAATAAAGCCCACACACACTTTCCTGCCATTTTCAGTGACTCTTACCGGTCAATAATTGGTTAGAAATACTTAACAAAGTCTGAGATTAGTAGATATCAGTAACATTCCCACTCTCTCATGGGCACTATAGTACATCTCTGTGCAAATACTTTCCATAGCAACTACCAAAATTTCTTCCCTCAAGTGTGTATATTTCTCATCATTCCCAAGGAATGTTTGACCTTGACTGATTACACTTTTGCTTGGAGGGGCAGAAGAGAAAGAAATGACTTTATCTAACCATTGAGCTATGTGAGAGAAAACCTCAAGGAACTTTCTGATTACCAAGCATTAAGGAGGAAAGAATGTTCAAGGAGCCTTTAACCTCTGATTTGTAAAGGTTGAATTCAGGGAAATCAGAGCTGCCCTTGCATCAAGGCAAAGACTCTAACTTGGGGGTTACTAAAAACAGTTTCCAGTTCTCCACCACTGTCTGCAACAGCAGATGCCCTGCTCCCCCCTGCAGTGCACATGAGTGCACAGCGGCACAGTATGTAGGTGCTGTGCCTAGGCTCAATCAACCAGGCCTAGGGCCATATCCCCTCCTAAGACTTGTCTAGAATATTTATTTATCCTTCTGCCACCGTCACATGTGTCATAGTGCAGAGGATAATAGTTAATATAAAGTTTATAAAATATTACTGGTCTTACCATGAAAAAAATTAATAAAATACTTATGCACATAGGGAGTGAGTTCACTTACTGCCAGTTATTTGTTTATAAAGGTAAGATTTAGAAAACAAGGAAAATTTCTGGCTTTGCTTCTTATTTTGAAATATTTCATACATGTAAGAGTATATATCTGGTTCTTATCTAAAATATAATGAATGCCAAGTTTAATAATAAGACAGTGCAACTTTTTAAATGCCCCTGAATGCTCCTCAATTTCATCTTTCTGCCTCCTCAGAAATAATAATTTGTATGTTTGTCTTTGTCTTGAAGGAGAGACATCTTACCTTCTATTCTTTTTTTCTGTTTAAATTCTGTGCCATGTGAAGATATTGAATATGGAAAAAGAAATACATGAAATTTAAATTGTAGACTCAAACAAAATAACCTACTCTAATATTTTTATTGTAACAGAGGCAAAACCTTTTTGCAGAATAACAATTACAGTATATCTGTCATGAACTAATGTTCCCTTTACAATGAGCATAGAACATGAATTATTTACGGTACTATTTCTGTTTACTCAAGTGTTGTCAAATGTAGAGCACTTGACATAATTTATTAGAATAAAATTCTCATAATTTTGAGATTGACATCTTGCCTAGGAAAAAGATTGCTCAGGGATGCAATCATCTTATTTCAATTTTTTTTCACCATCTTTGATATTCAATTCTTAAAGTGTAAATTAAGCCTGCATGATTTAATGACAGTGGATCATTTTTCCGATTTATTTCTGCATCATTCAAGATTTTATGCCTAATGAAATACATCGCGTCTGATGTCAGCAGTTGGCTATTTGAATACTCCGTCATAGACAGTGTGACCTTTCAGTGCTGTGAGTTGTTTATATGTGATAATGAGCCAGCTTTTTCCAGTGACTGAATTAATCATGGTTGGCCTCTTATAAAGTACCATTAACTCCTTCAGGGAATAAGGGGATGAAGCTGTCACTCACTATCTCAGACCATAAACAGATCCCAATTACTTACAAGAATGAATGTCAATTTAAAGCATATTTGAGACATTTTGTCTTAAAAAAAATAATAGGCTGTTTTAGTCTAGATCAGTGCCAGATGAAGAACTTCTGGAACCTTTGGAGCAATTAGATATTTAACCACCCCCCCACACTCCATGTTGTCACTGATAGGCATTCATTAATTCCCTATGCTTATGCCAAATCATGGACCAAATTTGATGTTGCCATAATGGGCTAATAGTCACTGAGGGTTTTCTGTTTGCCAGGTACTGTTCCTAGCCCTAACCTGCCATTTCATATGGTCTTCATAACAACCCTATCAAGTAGATATCCCAGTTTTACAGATGAGGAAACCAAGGTGCAGGGAGATTATGTCACTTACCCAAATTTACACATTGAATGAACCTTGTAGTCTGGGTTGTTATGCAGTATCTAATAGGTCATTTGAAATCTGTATGTTAGATAATATTCTGGTTATCTTGTCTGGTAAACTTCTTGTTGTCATCTAGATTACCTATAGTGTCATCTAATATAGCTCTGTCCTGGGAAAAACGTGCCAATTTTATAAGAAAGTAAGAAGAGTTCAAGGAAATGGTGTTTTTGTAACTATTCTCCCCTGGTCTCACTTCCAATTATTTTTCTACTTTCTAGATCCACTAGAATTAGGAAAAAGAAGGGTATGAAAGACAGCTAACCTGTTTGTTCTGCCTTGTCATATGTGCAGATATCTTGTGTCTAGTTTATGTAGTCAGTAATTTTTTTTTGAGTAACTTCTGTGGATCAGGCTCTGGGTACATACAGGACAGACCCATAGATGTAAGAAATGCATCCCTGAAAATCTTATTATTCATGATTCAGATCATCTTAACAAAGAAAATAATTTCTGTTTACTAGCTAAAGTAGCCGTATGATAAAGGTAGAAAGGCAACTTAAAATTATTTTAATTGCTGACTTTGAAGTTATGACATTCTTAGTGAACTTTTAAAGGGGCTTTGGGGTCATTTTGGTTTAGATTTTGGTCCCCAAAGTGAGATTCTAATAGTATTTAATATTACACTATTTTAAATTTGCACAAAATTATCACTCTACATGTATTATGCCTGGGATATTGTTTTGGTAGCTGAGGAATCCAAGTATTGATACTGCTGTTACTGTCATCATGTTCATTGACATCCAGGTAAAATATCTGGAAAATCTTTATAGTCTAAGGCTTGGGATCTCAAATTGATGCTTGCAAATATTTGTGAAGTGACAGGTCATCCTTTAGTGGTATGTGAAACTAACTTGTTAACTAAGTAAGTTTTACGTAACAAACTATTTTTTTTAATCACCAAATCATTTTAAATTGTTTGTTGTAGGTCTTGGCCAGCCTACGAACTGTACGGAACAACTTTGCTGTATTAACAAATTTGCAAGATCGAGCATCTAACAAGTAAGTTGTGCTTTCTTCCCCCTCCTTCTTGAACTTTTATACAGTGTTTTCTCAATTTTATTGAACTCAAAGCGATATATTAGATTTCTCTGAGTCGTTGCCACATTGTCTAACTATTTACACAAAGTCATATGATGTCCTGTTAATTTTCTATAAATACTTCATAGTGATGGTTCTAATATCAGAAATGAAACAGTATAACAAATAAATAAGGTGATTCTATCTGTCAAAAATCATCTGGCATAATCTGTCCCCTACCCAGTTATTTACACTCAGGTAACTTTATAGTTTTGACTTACTTCATCAGTTAACCATGGGCAAAACATTTCAAGCCTTAAAGTCAACCCAAAGTCATTCCCTCAATTCAAAGCAACAATTACTTGGAGAAGCAGCCTCTCCTAGCAAAGATCTTTGATTCTTCTGCTGTTACTGACTAATGTCATCAGAATCATAGAACAATTAATAAAATTGTGATTGATGTGAGAAGAGTGGAAGTGTTTGTAAGAGCTGAAATAGGAAGTGCTTCTAATTTGAAGGGTGCTGATGAAGGTGAAAAAAATCTAAAAATTAATTTTCCAAGATTAAATAAAAATGACTTCAAATACCCATTATTCTAACAGTTATTAATAATAAGATATTATCATCATAACAAATTTAAAGACTTGTCCAGAAGACAGAAACATTACTTTAAATCAATATTAAGAAGACAGTTAATGCAAATTTATTTGGAATTATAAATTACTTAAATGAATACAATTTGTAGTAGTTACTACTTAAAGAACATGAAAAACCTTAACTGTCCATCACACAGCAATATAATTGACCTCTTTTGATCTCCCAAATTCACACCTTCCATGACAAAAGGAAAGCTCCAGCCATTATGCACATGCTTCCTGTGTGTGTGTGTGTGTGTGTGTGTATCACAATGCAAATAATTGGAATGGAACCCAGGAACACCAGTCGATTGTCTTGTTCTCCAAGTAATGAATTTTTGCTGTCCTGTTCTTTGATCCTGAACATCTTCCACTTTCTTCTCCCCCTCCTCATGCACTGGGCTAACTGTAATTCATTCTTTAGGAAACAGATTTAGATTTACTTTTGGACTAACCCTAACAAACACATCCACACCCACAGGCCCTACACTGGGTAGCATACCATTCTTTTCCCATCTGATTGCCTTCCACACTTAACTTCTTAACTTCTATTCAGCACATGTCTCTCCATGGTCAGTTGGCTGTCTCTTTGGATGCTCTTTGAGAATGTCAGCTCCCAGTGCTCAGGGCTAGTGTTGGGTCCACATTTGCATTGCTGGTGCCTAGTGTGATACCCAACACAGAGTGGTTCCGCTGCATATGCTTGGGGGCTGCGCCAGTAGATTGGTAACACAACAGATAAAACCCAACAGTGTGCTCTGAGGTATCGGTTGGTTACAAAGCTTGTCTTCTCTGTTCCATGGATGTACAACCTCATGATCTCAGTAGCCCCAGGGGGTTCTGGAATTTCACAGCTCAAAGGACCATCACTTCCTCTCTGGAAAGAATCAGTCTTAAAAGAAGTAAAGTTACTGGTGTCACTCCTAAACTTTTTAGTCCCAGTTTTGAGGTTTTATCTTTAAAAAGTGAATGAGAAATTTTAGAGCTCATTTTACACTGTTTCAGACATGTCCTCTCATCACCTGCCTGCCTCAGGTTCAGATAGCTTCAGTCTGGCCTTTCTAAAAGTCTCCAGAGAGGTAATCTGAGGCCCGTTCTATGCAAGACAGCTAGAGGAGGGCAGGAAATCATAACCTGAACTTGACCTGCTATGTGATGCCCAGAGTGACATCTAAGCAAAGAATCTGATGTGGTAGACTCTGAGCAAAGGCCTTTGGAGTGTCTCCTCATTTACGTCTTGTTCACAGATTTAAACCTTATCAGCCTCCTCAGGTATCAGATGTCTGGGTATAAAGGAATCATCTGAATACCACTGAGAGTTCTTCTCAGACTGGGCAAATAATCAAAGCAGCATCAGACTATTTAGCCAAGGAAAAATCAATTTAATAATGTATATAAAGTGTCTATACTATGCCTGTAAATTCGAAAGACTAATGGAACAGTCCAGGGATATTTATCCTGCTTTTAGGGACAAGGAAATTGGGGGGAAATTTCCTATGACAGACAAGAGGGGGTGACCTCATCCTCACTGAGATTGATGGTGAGATTCTGAGAGAAAACTTGTTCACTGATAAACCTACACCTGGATGAGACACCCCCCCCACTCCAAATTACATTCTTCTAGGTCATAAAGGGGGGAGCCATGATTGCTTCTCTGATTAGGAAGAAGGGAGAAGCTTAGAAAGTGACAGTCTCTTCTTTGGTCAGGGAAGGGTGAAGGACTCAGAAAAGGATAGAAGCCTTTTGTCAGCCTCAACGGATTTTATTATTCTTAGCTCAAAATGCTCTGCATGCCAGAACAAGGTGTCTTGAGGAGAGTAGTTCTGAGAATCTTGGGGTGATCTGATTTGTGCACCCTCACAGAATAGCAGGATTCAATCTGCGTACAGCTAAACACTCTTCTGTTCAGTCACATGATAAGGCTGAGGCAATCAACAGTTTCCCTGCTGGGTGTTCACTATCTCACTAGAGCACTTCTAAGCTCGCCCCTGGATTTCATGGAAGGCATGTGCCACCTTGTACAATCTACCTTTTTATTTGCTACATGAAAGGAATTTAGAAAGAATGCATCTGAAACTCCAACCACCATGTCCAACTACATAGTACTAACTTTTGTTAACCCACTACTATTTATGTCATCTTGCTCTTTCTCACCCTTGAGATTTTCCATTGCAGAAGTGAGTACTGCCTCACTTTTCAGTAAATGATTTGTCACCATAACCAGGGAACAAACACTTTTTTCCACTTGCCCTTACTTGTTGAAATATCAAATTCTCAAGTGCCACTTGATATTAAGGATTGCTATTAAAAGAAGATAATAAGGAACAAATTAATGATTTGGTATTCTAAAACTATATAAGAGTTTTAAAATATTCATTTGATACCTTTTCCAGACAAATATCAATCTTTCTAAATTTTCACAGAGCAAGGACTAACATGGAATAATAAATACGTAAATTACTTGAATAATAAACTTTCATGAAGACACTACTGGTAGAGAGCCTAGCTACTTCAGAGTAGTACGTCCAAACATTCTTTTTGTTTTATGAATCAATAATCAAGTTTCAACCAAAAACAATTTCTTTTTTTTTTTTAATTCATTTATGCATACAAGAATGGGGTATACGTAAGAGGTGCGGAGGTTAGAGGATTCACCAGAGACAGAGTGGGGAGCAGAACAGGCATATTGACTGAAATACACTGCGAAGGGGAACAGCAGGAGAGTCAGGAGAGATCTGCTGCGCCATGTTGGTTATCTCCCTGGCCAGGGGTCGAACTTATGCTGCAGTGGCTGCCAATAGCTTCACAGTGCTGAGATTTAACCCACTGCACCATCAGGGAGGCCTCCAAAACAAAATTTCAACCCCATACTGACACCAGTAAGTTTAAGAACAATGAGGCAGAGCCAGAGGCTGACTGGAAGCAGAGTAATGAGAACTGACAGGATACCAACTGTTTCCTGAAGTATCTCCCAGCCCTGCTCAGAGACCCATCATCTCAGAAGACAGGTTTGAGCAGGGCCATGCAAGCCTGCCATCACACAGATGTAAGACCATCAGTCCAGGTTCTACAAAAGCATCCTGAACATGAGAGCACAGGCCCTGGAATCATATTGCTTTAGCTCAAATCTCACCTTTTTCACATTGAACAAGTGGTTTGATTTCCAGAGCTTTATTTTCTGCATCTGTGAAACTACATGCCTTAAGTTTCGTTGTAAGGATTTAATGAGATAATTCGTTTACAGTTGTCATTTAGCAGTGTCTCTCAGTGTGTGCTTATTGTTAGCCACTGATAAAAACCTAAAAAAATTGTAGATATCCTTGCATGCATCTATTTTTTAGTTTCTTTAAAAGAACATTAGAAAATTATTAAAGATGATTTGAAAGATTCCAGTTGTTACAACTTTATATAGTTAAATTTCAGAAAATGGTAATATACATGCCATAAATGATACTCCTGTCAGCATAATTTACTAAACACTGATTCAATACTGGATATTGTGCTGGACTCTGTAGAGAAAACACATTAGTCATGTAATGCGCATTTTTTTCACCTCGAGCAGTTTTTAATTATTTTGTGGCACTTAGCAAACACTGAAAAATTAGAGAATACAAGATAAATCTATTTAAATTTCATGTTTCTAAAGTCTCTGTGACCTCTATTGCAACAGATCATTAATCTTACCATGTAACGAATGTATCAAAGATGTTTCTCATAGAAAGAAAATGGAAAGGAAAAGATCTAAAGAGCTTCTCTAATTGTAATATGTTACAAAGAGTCATTGACTTCTGATAATGTGCAAACAATTGTGACATCTTTTGCCGAAAGTGAAAGTCTCTCACAGTGTTTTAGAGAACAAGTTATAGATTTATTGCTTTTGCAAATTTAGAAAGTTTGTGTTTGCTGTGTAATCTCTGACTTAATCGAATATAGTCAATCAATAAGAGCTGCTTCTTCTACCACATCTCTGTGACATTTGTAGTCACTTTATTTACCCCAAAGTCCATCACTATGAGATTTAACAGTTTTCTCTGTTGACATGTGTAATCTGAGCTCTCTTGTGCAAAGGCTAGCTAGGAACCTGACTGGCTTAGTCTGAAAGCTCTCCTCATTTGCAAGTCCTAACTTAAAAATAATGCTTTACATTAAAATGGCTTGTCTGTACTGACTCAGAGTCCTTAAAATCAGCATGCACACATTTTTACTGTTGTGTGTCTTTCTCTCTTTGTCAGAAGATCACCCATGTGCAATCAACCATCCATCAGCAAAGCCGCCATAACAGGTAAGAAAGCTCTGGAAGCTTTATTCTTCTCATATTTAGGAAGAAACCTTATCTTCGAAGAATCAGCGTCACCTAACACTGATTTTTATACTGTAGTTCTAAAAAGTCAAGAAAACCAATTCTTTCTTCTTTGTACTATCATTTCTCTTGGTGTTCTCACAAGTTGTTCATTTATGATTTGGGAAACTTACTGATATACCTTTTTTGTTTGTTTGTTTTTTAAAGATTTATTTATTTATTTATACAAGCACTGGGTACAGTCAGAGGTGCGGAAGGGTGAGAGAATTCACCAGAGCCAGAGCGGGGAGCAGAGCAGGCAGAAGGACCGAAGTACACTGCTGAGGGGAGCAGTGGGCGGCAGGAGAGGTCTGCGCGCCATGTGGGACCCTCACCTGGTGGCTGGGAATCGAACTGGCGCTGCAGAGGCTGCGGGCAGCTTCGCAACCCAGTGCTCAACCCCTGCGCCACCGGGAAGGCCCCTGATGTAACGTTTTTTAAAAAAAAATCTAAATGTGTGTTCTTACTGCACATACTGCTCTGGACATTTGTATTTTGAAAGATACTATTGCCTTCAAACCACTGATATTGTTGCTCCCAGGTTTATGTTATCAGTATGATGTTAACGTATGGTAGCTTGGCTTAATGAAAGTGAAAGCATTAAATAAAAGGTAGCTTCTTGGTTAATATCCCAGTTGTCTATAGAGAGGAATGTCATTCTACTAGTCCTGATATGAGTCAGAGCACTAGAAGATATTCAGTTTGAGAGGGGAGAGAAGAGGTAGTTATATAGTACAGAAAAGTTCAGTGATATCAAAAGAACAGATGTTTGGAGAAAAGAAGTGGAAACAAGGATGAAGGACATAAAGGACAGAAAAATAAAATTACTCCAGTTCCTAGTAGGTCTGTTTTAGGCATGGGACTTGACCTCAACTGAACCAAAAACAGAACAAATGATCTCATTTTGCTGACCCTAAAACCAAGTTGAACTCATTTAATCATTTCTTGAAACCCCAATTGATTCATTAAAATAATTGCCTGGAAAAGAAAACCTATGTTTTCTAAAATTATTACCAGAAGAAAATTAAAATATTCTCCAAACTAGACCAACCCATCAAGACTCAAGTGTCTTCCCTGAGCTCTAACTCATAACATGCTGGGGAGCTCCTTGTTAAGTTTTTAGTGACTACGCTTTGCCTGAAACTTAGCTTCAAAGTGTCTGGTTAGTAGTCTGGTTTTCTCAGCCAGCCTTGTTTGTGGTCACCACATCAGTATTGATTCTGGTTAGTGCCATTGTTTCTTCTTATGTCTTTTGAGTTTTGTATCTTGTGTTTCAATGATGTGACTTGTGTTTCAGTGACTGGTTCTCTTTTATATGTTTATCTTTCAAGTTCTTAGTGGTGATGACTTTCCCCTGTCATTTCATAATATGTGTCTGGTTTAAGAGTTTTCTTTTGACATTGATCAAGAAATGAACAATAACCAAAATTCTTAGCAATTTTTAACTCCACGTTAAAATAAGTTCTCTGAGTAACATTTCTGTTCCAGAAATCCAAATACAATGTAAATGAGCCTAAATTGAACTGAGACAGGGTGTGGAATCTCTATGTACCTTGATTTCTATGAACATACCTATGTTGAGGGATGAGTAGGCTGACCTTGTGAACATATGCATGGGGTCTCTAGTGACCAACCACATGGTACCTGGTCCCCAGCCCTGCTCTGGATACTATGTCTGTTCCCTATAAAGTGGGGAACTCCTGCTATTTTTGCAAACAGCAAGATTCTGACATTGTGGTTTAAGAAGAAAGCAGGGCTGTTTTGGTCCTTGAAAACTTTTGTAGTTTGAGGTCAGATATGAGTATACCCCAGGGGAGCATTCTCCCAAAAGAGCAGCTGCAGGTACCAGTGAAGATGGTTGTGTCCAACAAGAGGTGGGGGGTGGTCAGTGGTCAGGGTAGCTGTCGAGCCCTCTAGCAAGTGCCTGGTACTGATTAAAGAGTTCCTTTGCACTCAGAGGGCACAAACTTGGTCTTGAACATGTGAGAGAGCCCATGGAATTGCCCTCCAAATGTCCCACATTATTGAGGCCCAGGAACCATACCAGAGGGAACAATGAGCCACTGGAATCTTGAAATTAGAGTTAATATGACCTTATTTGTACCCACTAGAACCTAATCTGAGACCTGGGACAGTGGGGCTACAGAAATATCTAGAAGGGAAACTAATTAACTGTCATGAACTGCCTAGCACAGCTGTATTCATCACAAACACAACAGAAAATGAAACTTCTAGAGGATGGGAGTCTCTTTCCTTGCCCAGAAGTAGCAAACTGAGGTAGAAGAATGGATTAGGGGGTGGGAGAAAGCAGACAGTAATAGCAGGGACAGTTTCCCTCTCAGCCCATTCAGAAAAAGGTGAGCCCTTACATACAAAGTAATAATAATGATGGTAGTGAGTCTTCTGCCGATGTTAAGACTTGAGACATGCAGTGAAGATGTGGGTCCCTCAGCACCTGACCACTCCAGCCCCACCGCCACGCTCACTCTCCCAGCTGTTGAAGCTGGCCAGCTGCTGCACTGGTCCTAGGAAGGGCAGGGAACATGTTTGAAGTAGTCAGTGGGACACCCTTGAACATGTACTAGAAATCGTGTTTAGGGTGCAGAGGAACAGTGTGGTGTGGAATTAAATCCATGACAGGTCACAGAGGCTGCTGTGGGGCACAGGTCCAGGGCACCCCTGCAGGCAGCTCCAGGAACACCACTGGCCCTGGATTTGTGCTATGGATGCTCTGCCATCTATCGTGATAGCTGGGTGGCCCTCGGCAGGTTACATACCCTTGTTCCGCCTCAGTTTCCCCATTTATAAAATGGTGATAATCCAGTTATTGCCAGATGAAATAAGGGGTGCTCTTAACATGGCTCTTCGTAGATTACACAAACAGTACATTGTTTTTTGTTGTGTGTTGTTATTTGGTTGTGTTTCTAGGCCCACACTGTATGGAAAGTAGGTGTGATGGATAGACCAGAGAGATAAAAAAAGGAACTGGCTGAATGAGAGGAGGAAAAGCTTGCAGGATTATAGAAGTAAAAATTATACTTCCCCTCAAAATGGTCAAAATGGACACAATTTCATTGTTCCTACAAAAATGGGGCTTCCTTTTATCACAGTCACAGAATTGGAGCCTTTGTGATAAGTACGAAAAACTGTTACTCAGGATTATTTTCCAAATCTAAGAACTTTTGAGTCATAGCTCACTGAAGGGGAAAAAGTAACTATAAATTTTCCATAAGTCAACTCTTTGAGTTTTTTTTTTTTTTAAATAAGAGATAAGAATTTCAACTGTCTATACATTTCATACTAAGCTTTCTAAAGCATTCTCCCATAGAATTTAAAATACCCTTTCCCCCTTTGAGGTTATTTATTTCATCTGACATGTGTTAAAGACTGGAAAGTTCCATTTTATGTCACTCGGGTTAGAGCATGTTACTCCCTTTCCAGTTTTTATTTCCATAAATAAGAGGTAAATACATAGCTCTAAAGTGGTTTAACCATTTTTAAAATGAAACTTTCAAATGTACATTTATAAAAGAGCCTTACTACTAAATGGCTGTCTTGTTCTTTAATATGAGAAAACAGAAGGATGGTGTGTGAATTTGGCACTTGAATGCAAACCCTCTCTCATTCATTTTATTTCCCCATTTGAGAATGCAGGTATGAATCCCTAATTCTCAGTGCTGTTGCAATAATTCATGAGATAAACTTGGGTGAGAACAGAGTTCAGCAGTTATGAGTAAATCACTCATTTCTTTCTCCGGCCCTACCCCATGCCTGACAGTGTTTGTTCCCAAAACTAATTTGAAAACTGGTAGAATAGGGGAAGAGGACATTGACTTATCAGGTTTTCTGATATAAATGAAGACTTTCGTTTATGATTTTGTTTGCAAACAATAATGACAGGACGTAGTTAGAAACCCACATATAAACGAGGCTCACCTGCCCAGGTCCTTAACAGCAGTGAATAACAGCACTAAAAAGTGTCTTTGAAGAGTTCACTTTTTTGAGTTTTTATACCCTGGAAATCACATTTTGTAAAACTGGGGACCATTCATAGTTGTCAGATACTTTTTAAAATTATTATCTCAATACATTACTTTAAAAAAAGTTTTTTTGAAAGGAAATTAGATACATTTGTGGTCCCAGATGTTTGTATAACTCTAGAATGATCTAAACTATGTATGTTTGAATTTACTTTTTATTGACTGTTCAGATGTCCATTTTTGACATTACGCATGGTCCTTTTAGATCACATGAAGTTTGATTTGCAAACATTTCTATAGCTGAACTTGTATGTGTGGTTGCCTCCTTAATAAACAGCCTCACCATAATGTTCATTATTAAAAAAAAAAAAAAAAACATGAGAGGGCAGCAGAGAGTCAGAGATGCCCTGGCCAAAGCTGTACAGTGATAGTGAGCCCTGTCTGGGGAGGAAAGCCATATTCTTGGGGCATAATTAGTCCTTTCGAGCACTCTTTTTTTTTTTTTTAAGATTTATTTGTTTGTTTGTTTGTTTATGAATTTATTTATTTATACAAGCACTGGGTACAGTCAGAAGCTCAGGAGGGTGAGAGAATTCTCCAGAGCGGGGAACAGAACAGGCAGACTGATGAAGTACACTGCTGAGGGGAGCAATAGGAGCGGCAGGAGAGGTCTGTCACACCATGTGGGATCCTCACTGGCGGCCTGGGATCAAACTAGCACTGCAGAGGCTGCGGGCAGCCTCGCAGCCCAGCACTCAACCACTGCATACCAGGGGAGGCCCAGAGCACTCATTTTTAAATGACAAAAACTACCTGAAGAAAGTGACCTGCAGCCATCTCGTGCAGCCTCATCATCACTTCACAATATCATTTTTCAGTGTATCTAACTTCCACCCTTATTGAACCATCTTCTGATTGAAGTTTTTCATGTAGGAATGTAATTCAAAGAAAATGCATTTCAAC